TTGTATGCATAAATAATAAAAAAAAATGTTAAAAAAACAACTCTTGATGCAGTCAAGTCAGTATGCGTTCTAAAGAATATGATGAACTTCCTACATAACCAAAAATGACATTTTTCACATTTAACAAAACTAGTGATGATTTCTTCTTATTACCTGTTACTTAATCCATATTCAAATTTCATTGGTCCCCAAATGCTCTCCAGTTGGTTTACAGAAATCATGAAGCAATCCAGAACCAGAGGTTCCATTTGATTGTTATGTTCATCCTCTGCCCCCACCTTTCCGGGGGGGATATCATTAGTTTATTATAAAAGAGAGATGTGGAAATTATTTACATGATGAAAGATTTCAGTGGAACAGGCACCTTCATGTGATACCATTTGAACTGTGATTTAGTCTATGTACTTTCTAGCAATATCAACATCTCAAAATAATAATCCTTATGTTATAGGGCAGCCCCGATATTGAACGGGTTGCCTGGCTGTGGGTCCTCACCCGCGCACTTAAAAAGGACTTATTAATACTCCACTACAGGCACACACAAAAGGTTAATAAAATGTTTATTTGCAAGGGAAAAGGAAATAAGGAAAATGTATAACTCAGGGAGAAAATAGGGAAATAAAGTCTTTAATGCGTCCTACCCGATCCACCAACCTGGAAACCCAAAGGCACTTTCAGAGCTGGCCGGATGCTCCTAGCTGGTAGAGAGCCAAATTGGGGGACCCCTCCAAAGCCCACGTGTCTGCCTTATATCAACCTGGCTGCTTAACCCCACCCTCAAGGTCCCAGCCACTTCCCTTTGGTGGTAATGGGATTTGGTGTTCCCAGTGTCTTTGGCTTTGGCCTGGGGTGGGGGTGGAGTCCACAAAGCCTGTATGGAATTAGCTTTAGGACATCCTTTTCCCCCCTAACATTTATTGTCTAGAACTACTCTGGTGCTTCCATATTTTGGGAGAAGAACTTTTTTTTTTTTTTTAAAGATTTTGTTTGTTTATGCATACAAGAACTGGGGTATAAGCCAGAGGTGTGTGTGGGGGGACAGTGAGAGGATTCACCAGAGACAGAGTGGGGAGCAGAACAGACAGATCTACTGAAATACACTGCTGAGGGAAGCAGAGGGTGAGACAGGAGAGGTCTGCTGCACCATGTGGATTAGCTCTCTGGCCAGGGATCCAACTCGGGCTGTAGTGGCTGCAGATAGCTTCATAGTGCTGAGACTTAACCCCTTGCGCCACCAGGGAGGCCCATTCTGGGAGAAGAACTTTGTCTCCAACTTTCAATAACTGGTTGAATCTCTGCACCTTTCCCTTTAAAGCCCCATCCAATAGCTGATACTGTTGCTTGAAATTCGTATCCTTGAGATTTTCTGGAAGCATGATGCCTCCTTTGGTTACAAGTTGGGCTGCACTTCTTTTAACTAATACAAAGTCAAAGTGCAGAAGAAACTTTCTGGATGTCTGAACTGCCTTGACTTGGGTGGCCACAGTTCTAACTACTATGCTTTTGAGCTTTTCTTAATCTAGAACATTCCTTTTTCCTATTACACTGATTAGTTGAAGAACCCAGACTAGTCGTCTGTCCTGAAGAATGTGCTACCTTTTAGATTTGTTTGCTTCCCCATATTGTTGTTGAACTTGTGCCTCTCACCCTCATAGTTCGTGTAAATAAGTTAGATGTAAACATGACACTTTTTACTAGAATACAATAGATGAAAGGTTGTATGCTTCCTATTGTATCCCATCACAAGACATCAAAGATGGTTACCTCACCCTTAGTCATGCTAATGGGTTAGGTGACTAACAGGTTAAGATGGGCACAATCTGCTCTATTATGTAGCCATTCTTTTATCTTTGTCACCAGAGTGTAGCCAAAATGTTACACTTTGGTACCATATAAATAATGAGCACCCCCTTCCTAGAGGTTTTAACATCGGTTGATAACCTTGTCGGAATCAATAATTTCAATTGGGATTATAAAATGATTCTTCTGTAAAATAGAGCTTTCTCTTCCCATGTGGGAATATGCATTCAGTTAACAAATATTTATCATAAGATGAGATGATGGGGCAATAAACATTAGCTATCAAACCATCAGTGTTATTAAGATACATATTAAGGTACAAGATACCTCCTAACTAGAGGTGAGGGGAGTTTCACTGAAAGAGGTAGGGTTGGAATGAGGCCTGGAGTCTGGGCAGCAGTTCATCTTGTGAAGCTGTGGGCTTGGAGGGCAGCTGAAGAGGGCATATTGTTTTATAGAGGATTGCCGTGAATAAACTGGAATGGTGGGTTAGGGCTGGGTTGAGAGGGTTGTTTTGGTTACATAGGCTTGAATTCCAGGCTAAAGACTTACTGTGGATTTTCAGCATGAGAGGAAGGAATTGTTGGCAAGATTCTTGAGTTTAAGTGTGTAATGATCAAGCTCAGAAATATCTCACCTACCCCACACTCAGATGTTATTGGTTACTAATAACTAATATGGTGAGATCATTGAGAAAGTACTAAGTGAAAAAAACGAAGCAGGTATAGAGCAACGTGCCTGGTTTTTTTCCGTTTGTGTTAGATTTGCCTAGGATTTCACACACTGAAAATATCTCTGAGAATATTACCACCCAGGATCTGTGGAAGCTGGGACTGGCCCCTAGGAGACAAAATGGGTGCCATGTACTCTGAATCACTGGTCACAGTGACTCTGTTATAAAATTAGATAGACAAGGAAGCCATACTTAATTTTATTTTCGTTTAGTTTAGTTTTCAGCCACAAGACAGGGTGGACATTTTGGGAGAGCCCTTATTACCAGAGGGCCAGTCTGACTCGGTCTCTGACCTTTCTTGTCACCCTGTGGCCTGAGGAAAGAGGCAAGGACTCCAAGATTCAAACTTCCTTGCGGGGGATTGATAAGAATTGACATGAAGGTGCTGGGACAAACCATGTAAAAGAAACTTTTGAAAATGTAATGTTAAAAATTGTATCATGTTCTGGAAGTGTCCTGGATGCTTTGAATTCTGTTCTGATTTTTAAAATCAGGACTTGCCTGTGACTTTCTGAGCAGTAAGGGTGAAGGGCGGGCCAGGCAGACCCACCCGATGCTTGGCAGAGTGCCTTGTTCTGCCTGCCTTGGTGCACAGAAACTCACAAAACCATCTCAAAGGGTCAGATTCCCATCTCCTAGACCAAAGAACAGTTCAGACACATTTTTTAAAATCATGCACAGGATGAAGTTTTCTAGCCACGGCTTTTTAATCTAGCCATGGGGAAGGGGAGTAGCCTATACCTCTTTTCCTAGCCTGAGCTGTGTGCATAATCACATTTCAGAGGAAGGCCTTAAGAACATTTTAGTTTCGGGTGTACCATTAGAAGAGTGATTATGGAATGTCCTCTCTGGAAAACAAACAGTATTGCAGAGCAATAATTAAATTCTTATACACAGAAGCTTCTGCTTAGATATCTCACTACAGCCAACATTAGTGGAAGCATGGATTCTCTGGGTACTGCTCTGGAACTGGTGTGAAAAAAAGAGGAATATTGAAGGGCGCACCCAACTTCTCTCCTCATTTTGCCATTTATGAACAAGTCTATGTTAGGCAATAGGAAAAAAATATCTCTGCAATTTCATCAACTGTGATCTGGAAAGTAGCCACACCCTCCTCCCAGGACTTCCCTTTTTACACACAAAGCTTTTTCCTTTTGAGAATGAGAATTTTTATGCTATTTATAGAGGAAATGTATGCTCCTTTCTCAAACTATCATCTAAGATGAAACTGATTTCACCTCAAATCAGAACTGACCCTCTCTTCTGGGTGGCAACATAAATTTACATGAAACTGATGATTTTTGCTGCTGAATCATGTTCTAGAATGAGAGCAGAACTCACACATTGCTTCATTTATCACAGAGAGCAAAATCAGATGAAGCATGCACAAAGGAAACACACAGAAGACATAAACAAAAGAGAGGCCAGTGTACTTTAAGTACAAATTTAAGAAATTATTTTATATAGTTATTTTTACAAGCTAAATACTTTGCAGGTATTTTAGTGTTGAATACAACAACCTTCTAGAATAAATATTATTATCCTTATTTTACGATAAGGAAACCTCAAGCAGGATGGTTAACCAACTTGTTTAAGGGGATATATTGAACCCTAGACTCTGGACAAAACTCTTTCAGTAAGGACTTTTCCCTCTGCCTTATACACCTTGAAGAACTGAGCTGGGATAGTGTCCAGTGTCCTCATTTCTCCTGATCATTGCTGTATGAATATTGTCCTCTTGCCTCAGAGGGTTTACCTTGGAAGCACCTGTTATCAGGCTGCATTTACTAAACGTTCCTCTTTGTTGAGTCAACTGTGGGCCCTGGGGGTATTGAAGATTTTTCTTCCCGGTAACTATTTCCAAAATCGTGGTCATATTAAAACCCATATGGACAATCTTGCTAAGACCTTGCCTGCTGGCATCTGGACCTCCTCTCTTCCAGGAATCTTGTTCTTCCACCCTAGCTGTGCCAGAGCCCAGCCTGCTGCTCACCGAATCTGTTTCCTCTCCTTCCTGAGCAGACTGTTTCCCGTCCTCTTTTGTAGTAACTGTGGCATCATGCTGAGTTCTACACAAAGGAATTTGGAAACTGCCCTTGCAGCCCTCACTTACTCCCTCCCTCATTATCTGCCAGCCAGAGGGAGAGGATCCAGGCAGGCACCCAAGGCTAGGGACCAGTTCTGTTGATAGAACTATAAAGCTGGCCACGTGTGATTTTAGATTTTCTAGAGGCTACTTTTAAAAATGCTGAAGAAACCGATGAACTTAATTTTGATAATACATTTTATGTAACCCAAGATAGCAAAAATGTTATCATTTGAAACTGCTGTCTGCTTTTCCATCCTCTTGACTCCCTGCCACTCACTGCTGGTAAATATGCCTCATAAAATTGAGGAAAGCAAAGACTTGCTTCTCAAAGTTGTTGAAAAGACACTAAATCTATCAAGATCAAGAAAAACAAGGATAATGCGAAGTGTGAAGTTCAATGCAGCAGATACCTTTATACTTCCTCACCACAAAGAGAAGACAGAGAAACTGAAGCAGTTCCTGCTCCCAGGTTTGTCAATAAAAGAGTTGGACTAGTTTGCACTAGTGGGAGCACCAGAAGTGCAGGAGAGTTCCTTTTTCATCACATCCTTGGCAATGTCTGTTGTTGCTTGTTTTTTTAATATGTGCTATTCTTACTGGTGTAAGGTGGTATCTCATTGTGGTTATAATTTGCATTTCCCTAATTATGAGGGATGTTAAACATTTGTTCATATGCCTGTTGGCCATTTGCATTTCCTCTTTGGAGAAAGGTCTTTTAAATTCTTCCGCCCATTTTTTGATTGGGTTGTTTATTTTTGTTGAGTTGTTTGAGTTCTTTGTATATCTTTGTGATCAGACCCTTATCAGTTGTATGGAGTGCAAAAATTTTCTCCTGATCAGTGGGGTGTCTCTTTGTTTGGTTGATGTCTCTTTTGCTGTACAGAAGCTCTTCAGTATATTTTTTTCCTTCACTTTCTTTGCTTTGGGAGATGAGTCTTTAAAGATTACTAAGATGTATGTCTTGTAGTGTTTTACCTATATATTTCCTCTATATATTTTATGGTTTTAGGTCTTATGTTCAGTTCTTTTATCCATTTTGAGTTGATTTTTGTGTATGGTGCGAAGTTTCATTCTTTTGCTTATGGTGGTCCAGTTTTCCCAGCACCATTTATTGAACAAACTGTCCTTGTTCCATTGTAAATTCTTTGCTCCTTTGTTGAAGATTAGTTGTCCATATATGTGTGGGCTTATTTCTGGGCTTTCTATATGGAAAGCTGTATGCAGGTTCCTCAGACTACTAAAAATGGAGCTCCCATATGACCCAGCAATTCTACTCATAGAGATCTACCTAAAGGACACAAAAATATTAATTCAAAAGTATAGCTGCATCCCTATGTTTGTTTGTTTGTTTATTTATTTATAAAAGAGGCATGTATTATTTATTTGTTTGTTTGTTTGTTTGTACATGCACTGGGTATAGTCAGAAGCGCAGGAGGGTGAGAGAATTCACCAGAGCCAGAGCTGGGAGCAGAACAGGCAGAAGGACCCAAGTACACTGCTGAGGGGAGCAGTGGGCAGCAGGAGAGGTCTGCGCGCCATGTGGGACCCTCCTCCTGTGGCCGGGGAGCAGCCGGGGATCGAACCGGTGCCGCAGAGGCCGTGGGCAGCTTCACAAACCAGCGCTCAACCGCTGCGCCACCGGGGAGGCCCTGCATCCCTATGTTTATTGCAGGACTATTTATAATAGATGACTTGGAATCAACCCAAATGCCCAAAAATAGATGACTAGATCAAGAAGATGTGGTATATACACACAATGGAGTACTATTTAGCAATCAAAAAAAGATAAACTAATGCCATTCACAGCAACATGGATGGAGGTAGAAGAGATTATGCTCAGTGAAATAAGCCAGAAGGAAAAAGAAAAAATATTGGATGATTTCACTTATAAGAGGAATGTTGGGGAACCATAAAAGGATCAAGAAAAAAAAATAATAACAATACAAAACACAACAAAACAAAACAATACTAAAAAAACAACTATAAATTGGAGACATTCTACAGTGGAGGGGGTGAGGGATCAAAATGAGGGCAGGAAGAGCACCAGGGACTGTGCTGATGGTACACGGGTGAAGTGGTGATAGAAATTCTATGGGGACTATACCTGAGAAAAGAAAGCAAACATTATAAAAAAAAAAAAAATGAACAAAGATTTAAAATATTTATAAATAAACAACTTATTAAAAAAATAAATAAAAGTTGAAATCGGGCCTGCCTGGTGGTGCAGGGGTTAAAGTCTCACTGCTATCAAGCTATCAACAGCCACTGCAACCTGAGTTCTATCCCTGGCCAGGGAGCTACCTATATGGAGCAGCAGACCTCTCCTGTCTCTCCCACTGCTCCCTTCATCAGTGTATTTCAGTAGATCTACCTCTTCTGTTCCTTACTCTGTCTCTGGTGAATCCTCTCAGCCCCTGCACCTCTGGCCTGTACCCCAGTTCTTGTATGCATAAATAATTAAATCTTTTTTTAAAAAGCTGAAATTAATCAGGGGTACTTTTTTGAACTGTATTAAAAACTAAAAAGCTAAAAAAAAAGCATATCTTGCCATCAATATAAAATTATTAATGAGGTGTTTCATATTCTTTAAGATCTGCATAATTCACCCTTTCAGTATGTATCAATTTATTTTTTTAAGATATATTTATTCATGCATACAAGAACCAGGATACAGGCCAGAGGTATGGGGGGGAGGGCGCGGTGAGAGGATTCACCAGAGACAGAGTGGGAAACAGATCAGGCAGATGAACTGAAATACACTGCTGAGGGGAGCAGCGGTAGAGACAGGAGAGGTCTGCAGCGCCATATGGGTATCTTCCTGCCAGCTGGGATCAAACCCACCCCACAGAGGCTGTGGACAGCTCTACAGTGCTGTGCTCCACCACTTGCTCCACCTGGGAGGCCCAGCACATATCAATTTAGATGCTAAATTTTAAAACGCTTGAGAGACTCACAATTTCATAAAGGAGAGGCACTTCCCAAATCATTCCAAACATTCTTTCAAAACTTTAAATGATTAGACATAAATAAAACTGAACATTTAGTTTCTGAGCTTCTGTGGTAAGAGCCCAGAACCTGCATGACTGCAGGGAGCGCATCCTCACAGCACCCAGTCAACAAGCATAGACTGTGTGTGAGTGATCTGTCAACCTGATGTGCTGGGTCACTAAGCTTTAGGGGCTCTTTTTTTTTTTTATTTATGCATGCAAGAGCTGGGGTACAGGCCAGAGACGCAAGGGGTGAGAGGATTCACCAGAGACAGAGTGGGGAACAGAACAGGCAGACTGACTAAAATACACTGCTGAGGGGAGAAGTGGGTGAGACAGGAGAGGTCTGCTGCACCATGTGGGTTGCTCCCTGGCCGGCCTGGGATCAAACTCATGCTGCAGAGGCTGCCAATTGCTTCCTAGTGCGGTGCTTAACCCCTTGTGCCACCAGGGAGGTAGGGGCTCTTTTTTATAGCAGTTAGTATAACCAATACACTACACAGATGCTCACCCCATGTTTACATAGGTGTTGTTTTTTATAATTTTTTATTTATGTATATTTTATCTCATTGCTTATTTTTTTTTTTTAGAGGCATGTTTTATTTATTTATTTGTTTGTTTGTTTTTTGTTTTTGTTTATACATGCACTGGGTACAGTCAGAAGCGTGGGAGGGTGAGAGAATTCACCAGAGCCAGAGCGGGAAGCAGAGCAGGCAGAAGGACCGAAGTACACTGCTGAGGGGAGCAGCGGGCAGCAGGAGAGGTCTGGCGCCATGTGGGACCCTCCTCTGGTGGCCGGGGAGCAGCCGGGGATCGAACCGGCGCCGCAGAGGCTGCGGGCAGCTTCGCAACCCAGCGCTCAACCGCTGCGCCACCGGGGAGGCCCTCATTGCTTATTTTTGTACAATGTTTGCGTTCTCCTCTCAGGTGCAGTCCCTATAAAATTTCCACTACCAGTTCACCCGTGCACCATCACCATAATCCCTAGTGCTCCTCCATCCCCTGTTTTGATCTCTCTCCCTACATGGGTGTTATAATGAATAGCTCCCTATCTCTATTTCACTCTCCCTTCCCTCACTTGCTATATTTTTCAGCTTCTTTCCTCTAACACTGCAACTCCCACAATTTATTAGCCACACATTCCTCTTCATGGGGTCCACATCCTTTGGTTTTTAATTCCTAGTGTAGATCCTCAACCCCCTGGCTCCTGCTTCCTTTGAAAGAACAACTCAACCATGAGCCAGAACTTCATACACAAGTGGAAACAAAGCTTTTATTTAAGGTCTTTAGCGAATTGCAACTTGGAAACACTACCCCACAAGGCTGAGTAAGCGTTCTGATATGGGGGAAATACAATGCTTATAAAGGCAGCGCTGCCTTCTATGGATAAACTAATAATATTACTTAAAAAGGGAAAGAGGGCCTTCCCTGGTGGTGCAGGTGGTTGAGCGCAGTGCTGTGAAGCTGTCCGCAGCCCCTGCAGCGTGGGTTCAATCCTGGCCAGTCAGGGAGCTACCCATATGGCGTGGCAGACCTCTCCTGTCTCGCCCGCTGCTCCCCTCAGCAGTGTATTTCGGTTGTCTGCCTGTTCTGTTCCCTGCTCTGTCTCTGGTGAGTCCTCTCACCCTCCCGCGCATCTGGCTTGTACCCCAGCTCTTGTATAAATAAATAAATCTAAAAAAAATTCTTTAAAAAAAAGGGGGGGATTAAAAAAAAACGCAAAATGTGGGGAGGTTTGCCTGCTAGTGCGGTGATAGATCTGCTTGTGTTATCAGTCTGTGAGAAGGCTGGCACGTCTTTCCAAACTTCCCCATTCCAGGTGTCAGGATGCTGGTTTGCTGAGGATGCCTGTGATTGTAAATTCAGGCTCCCAGGTGGTTCGCTATGGCAGACATGCCTGAGTTCTCCTCTCCTAATGGCTTTCTAACTTTTTTTTGTACGTTCCCTTTTCCACTTTCATTTCGTGATTTCTCAGTCACCTCTACATTCTTTTCACTGTGTATTCCTAGCAACTGCCCCTGGCCCTGCTAGAATGGAGGCTACTGTCCTGCCTACATTCAATGAGTGAGGACACAGAGAACTGTGCTAACTTGCGGCACTTTCAGTTTACAAACACATGCTTCGGTCAGGCTTGTAGTACTGCCAGAAGTCCTCCGACATTTCCATTCTATACTGCTCTTTTCCCAGTTTTCTTTTCTCCAATCTCCACTTCTTCTGCTCCTCTTCATCAATTCTGACCAGTGACTTGTTTCTAGTGACACAAAAGCAACAACCCAAAGTGTAATTCCATGCACTTCTCCTATGAGATCAGATGACCTGGCACAGAATTCCACCCTCTCTGACCTCCTAACACATCTTTCTAGCAACTGTCTCTCTTTTCTTTCCTGGATCATTTTTTTCTCTTTTAGATTTTTTAATGTATGTTCACTTAAGGACAGCAAAGAACTTCAAGTGTTACTTGGTGAATTTTTGCATATGTATG